GTTTATGTCTTCACTCATATGTTCGATAAATGTTGACTGGGTTGCAATATACAATGCACCCACCAGAATCTTTCTAGGATTCGTACTCGAGAATTGAAATCTCAGATTGATTTCAGTTTTCCCCTTTGGCTGGTTTCTAGTCTCACCCCATTACGTGTGCCCTAGCTTATTCTTCCTACTGTATTTAACCTAATCCACTACCATTTACCCTGTCGATGAGTCTCTCTAGTTCACATTTTGGCTTTCTCTCTTATTTCCCCTTCCCTTCCAGGTCATCTTCAGTTCTCACTCAGATCAAATTTTCTGGACTCATCTCTATCTACTTATGACAAATTGGCATATGCTTTAGCCACAGGGAATTACCTGTTTTCCAGTGCTCCATTGTATCTTCATGCCATTGTGACTTTTCTTGGTTGGGCTGTCCTGTTGCCTGGAATTCTTCTCCCTCTTCCTCTTTTCTGCCTTTTGAAATTTCACTTATCCTTCAAGGCTGAGACATTTGAGCCCAAATGTTGCCTTTTCTGAGTAGTCTTCCCAAACCTTCCTTCAATGCTGATCTCTAGTTACTGCAAATCTGAATGCACATTTAAAAAGCACACTTTGTACTTGAGTGCTTTGCTTATATAATTTATTGATGATGCTTTGAAAACTCTTGATTTGTTTAGTGACTGTTTCACTAGACAGGGAATTCACTGAGGGCAAGACCCTCTACTCATTGATATCCTAGTTCATTCTCCATGCAAGCGCCAAGCTTGGCACCAGGAACTGTGCTAAGGTTCTCATGGACTTCACAGGGGCAGAGATGGTTGAGTTGTGACTTGAAGGATATATTGCATTATTTCACAAATTCTAAGCATACATTTTTTTTCACATCCTGAAACCAGGATGTGTCTTTTGCTCTATGTATATGTTTAATGTGACAGAGTACCTCTTCTACCCCAAACGTGGTATGAATTTGGCAGTGTGTTTTACAGTCTGTGACATCTTAGTATCAAGAAGATATGCTACTTAGACTCTTGTGGTTTCACATGAAACATACCAACTTGATACTTTTTAAAAAGCGTGCATGGAAGGTGTCTTAGTTTCCTATTGCTGCTGAGATAAATCACCACAAATGTAGTGGCTTAAAACAACACGAATTTATTCTTACAGTTCTGGAAGTCAGAAGTAAAAAGATGAGTCTTGAGGGGCTAAAAATCAATAAAAACAGGCCTGGTTCCTTCTGGAGACTCTGGGGGAGGAATCTGTTCCTTGTCTTTTCTAGCTTCCAGAGGTTGCCTGCATCCTTGGCTTGTGGCCTCTTCCTCCATCCTCAGAGTTTCTGTATCAGTACAGTTTCTGCTTCCATTGTCACACACTTGGGCCCTCCTGCCTCCTCTTGTAAAAACCCTTGTTTCTACATTGGGTCGACTCGGATAATCCAAGATCATCTTCCCATCTCAAGGTCTTTAACTTAATCACATCTGCAAAGTCTCTTTTGCCATATAAGGTAACAGGCTCTGGGGATTAGGATGTGAACATGTTTGGGAGGCCACTATTTAGCTTACCATGGGAGGAATTTATTTTTAAAATGTTGATATGTTTTTATATCCCAAAGGTGAGACTATAGTTACGTCCCAGGAAGAGTCTAGGATTTTTCTGTTTTCCATATCTGCTCTGTCTCTACGTCTACATTCCTTCCTTCTTTCTCTGCAGAATGACTTCCTCTGCAACTCAGCTGTATATAAGAACATGATCGTTGACACTTCCTGAGTCTGTAAGTTACGGTTTCACTAGCCAGAGATTGCTCCCACCCCCATCTCTCTTCCAAATTTCCAAGGAAAAAGCTCTGATTGGCACTCTTGGGTCAATGTCACCCTTTGCTGAAGATGTAGCCAAAATTGTGGCTGAGGGAAAGGGTATAGCTCTTCAACATTGTAGGAAATGACTGCCAGCAAGGAGGCATCTCAAGGGATGCTCACCTGGTTGCATACTGAAAAATAATCCTTTGGAAGGGACAACTAGTTGTTCACCAGGGAATTAAATGAGAGGGTGACATTTCAAACAGAGTGTGCCTGCACTCGGTCAAATATTTTTCAAATAGTGAGTATCCACAAAATATTTCTGGAATCAGGTAGAGCTGTGAAATTTCTTCAAAGTGTCTTTTTTTCCAGGGGATTTTATCTCCTTTTGCCTGGAATCCTGTGGTTCCTCTGCCTCCACCTCTCCCTCCTCTGCCATGCCATATTTTTACATTTCACCTTTTTGCCCAGAATTCTTCAGTCACTTTCTCTTTATTACAGAATAAAGTCCAAACCCTATCCTGGCATTTATGTATGAAATGATGAGCTACCTTTCCCCCACCTAGGATAGGAGAATAGTCATGCCAATTTCACAGATATGTTGAGAAGATTAAGTGAGTATTAGGGATTGTTACCCTTTTCCACACATCTCCAGTGTGAGTCCTCTGCTCTTTCAGGTTGGCTTCCCGTGGTTCTCCAAGCATGTCTTAATTATTCTTACGGCTACACCTTTGTTTGGCCTGGGACTCCAGCCTTGGAAATGCCTGACTCTCATCTCCTACCTTAGCAGTCCAGCACATTCCTTCAGGCCCTGCGAGGCTACAAATATTTTCTTACCTCTTCATTCTAAGAGCAGCTCTACTCTGTTCTATGCAGAGTCTTGGAGTAGACTACGTAGCCCTACGTGGGTGTGACAGTCACACTTTGCCTTCCTGGTGGCCATTTGGCTTCTCCGCAAAGACTTTCAGTGCTGAAGAGCTAAACTCGGTCTTCCCATCCCCTTTTCTCGGCAGCTTTAATTAGATAGCTGCAACATGTAATTATCTTTTTAGTCATGACAGTCTTGCCTTTTAATACAATTTTCAGTTCTTTCAGAGGAACAAAGTACCTGCTGGAAAGGCACTGATTGCATTTATACCTCAAATGATAATTTCATGCTGTTAGTAGTTAAACCAGTGCTACCACTTTTCTTTTATTTTTGTCCACATCTACCATTCCTTGGGGGAGAGGATTTGCCATTACAGGGCTTGAGATTATTGTGACAATGCTTAGAACAGGTCTCTGAACAGAAAGAAGGCAAAGAAAACCTTCCTGGTTGGTGGCTGTTGCTACTTGAACCAACTTTACTTAAGGCACTTTAGATTACTCTTAAACAGTATTTGAATTTTCGAAGAAGAAGTTTCTGTTGTGAAAAGTTTGCTCCTTTTTCTCCCTTTTGTATTCTTTCAGTCCTTTTACTGTTTATATACAAATATATCCATATCTATATACCTGGTTTAGTTTTTATAAAAATTGGGATTTTGTATTTACTTTTATATTTACTTTATGTATTTACTTTTAAAAAAGACTTAACAATATACCAATGACACCTTTTCATGTCATTATATAAAGATTTAACTATTCTTAATGGCTCCAGGCAGCAGCACAATTGATCTATATTTTTCTCCTATTGATCAACACATGTTATTTCCAATTGATTCTTGCATTCTGATTTCTTTACCTTAAAAGATATTAAAAAGATAAATGACCACCACACTCCTATTCACAAATTCAGTGTTAAGGGTTAAATTTCGTCACTTCAAAATTCATATGTTGAAATCTTAGCCTCTAGTACCTCAGAAGGTGACCTTATGTGGGAATAAGGTCACTGTGGATGCAATTAGTTGAGATAAGGCCATACTGGAGTAGGGTGAGCCCCATACTGGTGTCCTTATATTTGGATACAGATCACCGGGAGAATATTCTGTAAAAATAAAAGCAGAGATCAGGGTGATGTTTCTATGAGCTGAAGAAAGCCAAAGATTGCCAGAAACTCACCAGAAGCTAGGAGGGAGGCCTGGAACAGATCCTTTCTCACAACCCTCAGAAGGAACCTATCCTGCCAATACCAGATCTTGGACTTCTAACCTCCAGATCTGTGGTTTAATACATTTTTATTGTTTAAGCCACCCAGTTTGTGCTGTTTTGTTAAGACAGTATTAGCAAATTAATACACTCAGTCTTAAAAAAAAAAGGTGTTCAGTGCACGAGATAAAGAATATTGGGGCAAAAATCCATGATGTTGAGTGAAAGCCTTTCTAGGATGACTGTGTTGTGCAATTGTGTCTATTCAATGATATATCTGTAAGATAATGACTGTAATACAACCCAGGGCTTCCAGCAAGTGGCTCATACTATAGAAAAGTAATGGGCTGAATGTTTGGTAGAAGCCAAGTTAATGACCAGAGATCAGGAATGGTAACAAAGAAATAATTACTGAGAACTTTCCACAGACAAGGGTGTGGTAACCCAGGCCTCTATCTGGTAAGCTGTCTTCTGGCTTTTAATCATATCAGGTAAAATAAACAAGTAAATAATGATAAATCATCTCTAGAGAATTTAGTCTTCCTCTACTTCCATTAATATCACCTTCACGGAAGCCCTGTGTTGGTCTGAGTCTGAGATATTGGCAGCGCACGATGGCTGATCCAGTTTTCCAGGGACTCTCAGGGCACGGGACTGAATATTGTGTGTGTTACATGAATGTGCTTTGCCCCAAGTCACAGGGCACTGTCACTCCTCTGAACCTCTAGACTCTTTTCATGCTCTATTTCTTAGGCAATGAAATGGTAACTACAAGACATTATATGATAACATTTTATTATAGTTATATTTAAAACTCCACAGGAACAGGGATTTTGCCTGCTTTATTCACCTGAGCACACCACTGGGCACATAGTAGGTGCTCAACAATTTTTTTTTCTAAATAATGAATTGCACATACATGTGTTTTACAACTTCTTTTTCCAGTGTTATTTGAAGTTAAAATACCTGTGCTGGACAACAACACCCCTTCTCTGCTGGCCAGATATGACTCATAGACCACCAGTTGAAGCCTTTGCTCTATAAGTACTCCATAGAGCCCAAGGCAATTATCTCTCTGTACCCCAGCAGTTCCTGGTATGAGCATGGTAGAGATCAAAGGGCAGCAAATAAACGCACAAGGAAATCCAAGTCATGTTTTGAACTACTGAGGTTTTTTTTTTTTATTGCAAAACATTTGTTACAGAAATTTCAGAAAGTTTTTCCCGTGGTATCTGCCAACTTCTGCTTCGAATTATATATCTAAACAAACAAGCTCAAAGTGCATTGTGAATCCAGTAATAGACCTTTAAAAAAGAACAATTCCTCTAAGGATTTTTATGTATTTATAATGTCGATTGATATGCAAACTGCTGTCTGTCTATACACAAAGAAGGAAAAGATGTATATATCTTTAAGAAACCCAATTGCAAAATTGTTTTATTTATAGGAATTCATTTAAAAATGATATCTGAATAATTTTCCCCATTATAAACTATGGTTAGAATGCTTACAAATGAGAGTCTAAGTTCTGTATTACGAAACGACTATGAGGACAGTCTACTGCATGTACTGTTTTGCACAGCAAGAGCAGCAATATAAACTCAGGTCAGACGCTGCAGTGACAGGAAGCAGGTAAGCCTTGATACAATGCTACGGTACTCTTCTTCTGAATCTCCCTCACGAAGATCCCACTTTTAGGGCCAGAATGATGCAGCTAGCAAGGATACATACACAGATTACTTGGGAGAACAGAAATAACCCTGAATAGGGTGAGTTCCTTTCCCTCCCACTTCAATTCTTGGTGTATTTCACAGAGACACTCCCTAAGTTGGAATCAGGTATATGATCCCGGTTGGCTTCAATTCAGAGGTCCCAAACTACTGTCTCTGGGACCAAAAGCTGCTGGCAGACACAGTTGTTTGGCTAGCACAGTGTTTGCAGATCTGAACGTGAATGTCTCTGTAGTAGGACACGAGTTCCCTCATGCCCTGTAAACCCTACTTCCTCCCGTTTGTCTCACATGGGTCCATCTAGCACATTTGTGTTCTGGATCCAGCCCCTCCACATATCTGAGTTTACAACCCCACAATCTAGATGCTGATTCCTGGTGCTGATGGTATGTGGGAAGTTGGGGGGAAGATGTGAGGGACTCTCTTGGGACTCAGGCAAAGCACTGATGAAGCCGATGCCAACACCAGTCCAGCTGGGAACATGGGGTAGAGGAGGAGGGAGGAAGCTAAGTGAGCGGGATGAGCAGGGCTGGATAAAGTCTGCAAGTTTGACTTTCTCCAAAGAGCCAGTGTTTCAGCTGACTGTGCCAGGGTCCATAGGGTATCAAGGTGATGGGAGCAAGAGTCAACTGGTCTGGCAAAAAAAACCATCTTGTGCTGGGCTAAGAGTAAGGAAGAAGGTTAAGGGAGTAAAGAAGGCTGCACATCCAGGGACAAGGCTGAACTTCCCTCCTTGTCCCACCTCTCTCAGCAATCTGCCTGCTCCAGAGGAAGGCCTATATCCTTTTCATCTCCCAGCACACAAACATTGTGCAAACAGGCAATGGCCTGAAGGTTTAATGGGACCATAGAATAAGTTAGGATAGGGAAAATTCAGCTCACTCTTGCTGCCATCTGGATTACTTGGCCACCAAAATCCTTTCTTAGACGACATGTAGAAACTGTCCTATCTTGATTTCATTAGCAGTGATCCACGCAAGGAATTCATCAGAGAAAGGTAACACAAATACCTTCTCAACTGAATTTAAAAAGAAAGGAAAAGAAAAAAAAATCTTGTTTTCCTTAAATCAGAGCCAACCCCTCCTTTGGTTGACTCCAATCTGAGAAAGAGAATGTTTGACTTATAAAAAGAAGAGAAAGCTTGGCCAGTGCAGGCTGAGAGAAGAGTTTCCTCTACTTAATTGAAAAGCAGTCATTTATCAGACTGTGCAAATGGGATCCTCTCTTTTCCAGATGTTGAATAGCTTCTAACAACGAAACGGTGATTTCTTTAAAGGGCAAACTCCTCAGAGTCACCCAGTGCTCGATCAGACACCCAGTCACCCGCCTCTTGCCCTCCCCCAGGCCAGGCTCACACACAAGGTGAGAAAAGCCACCTGGTAGGAGGGTGATCATGTGTTGCATCATTGGATTCATTCAGAATGATCTGTGGATTTTTACACTGTCACGAATGGACCTCTGATTCTCATCTCTGGTTTAGCAAATTGTATCCAATGGCCCTAAAGAATCAGAAACGTGTCTTTCATGTACCACAGATGCACCAACACCTAGACCTTAGTAAACCCAAGCAGTGCTGGCTAACTCTCTCTGGGTCACATAGCTATATGTCTTGTAGTTAATACTTTATTCCATATTACTTGTTCAGAGCTTTAAAAAAGATAATAAAAAAGCCCTCGTTACTTTTTTGTTTTTAATTTTAAAAAATTGGACATAATCCTCAAACAGTGTAAGAAGCCCAACAATCTGAGTGAGTTCCTAACGGGTTTAAGGGTCACAGCAGGCAATAGTAAAATGTTAAGTGCCTTTCAGAAGTCAAAAGAAATGCATAAAGCAGTGCATGCATTTTGTTGCCACAAAATTAAGACTGGATTTGGAGAGGGATTACTTCATTTAAGTCACATTGCTATTGTTAAAGAATAGTGAGTTATAATGCAATATCTAGAACAAGTATATAACCACCTACACACTAGTATCACTTTATCTAGAAACAAACATTTTAGTGTTACTACATGAACATATTTATAAAATACTGTACACTGCTTCCACACTGGGTTAGCAGATGTAAACAAACAGCTAATTCAACTGGAGCTTAAAATATTATTTTCAGTTCATTTGTCATATAGTCTTTTGCATCACATGCCAGTTTGTCTTTCACAAAAATCACAACTTGCCTACCACAGCTGGCTGGGCTGGTAAGAGAATGCACATCAGCTTATACAAATATTTTACAGTCGTCTACGGGAATGTGAAAAACACAAAGCAGGTCAGGAACAAAAGTGCCCATTTCACGAGGATGCTAAATAACATGGAATTGGGAACATAATTAATCCTTGCAACATGTGCTTCTTTATTGAATGTTACAGATTCTTAAATGATTATAAAGCTGTCCTGTAACGTTCATTAATATAACCACATGCTACAGCTATGCTGAGTTAAACACGGGTTACATATATGTTTATAGGTGTTTTATAATACAGCATCACCCAACACATTGGTATAGCCTACAGACACAGCATGATGGATGACTGGATAATAGTTATTATCACTATAGAAGTTAAACAGCCCAAACGTTCAGGAGGATTAGACCGCACAGCCTCAGAAAGTGGGATGAATGCACTATCCAGTTATCTACCATAATTTATCTATAGAAACTGTCTTTTAGAATGCATTTGAAACATTCAGAAGAAAACACATTTTGTGTTTTTGCAAGTACATTTTTCTCATTTAATCATTCTGATATATATATATATATATATTTTTTTTTTTTTTAAAAGGGGGAACTTACCGAGTGCTAAATAATATCCTAGACCTGGAAGCTTAGACTTAAAAAAAAATTCAGTTCTGTAAAGTGCTGCATTCTGACCCCTAATACACCTTCTGACTTGGAGAAATACACAAACTAGCCATGACAATTATACCCAAGCTTTCCAGCTCCATTCAAATCCATCAAGGAGGGAGTTTCTCAGCATAAATAGAACATATGTTGGTTAATCAGGAATTTCCATGGTCATTTTCATTAAATATCCTTATATTTTTTTTCCCAAAAGGACTGAGAAATTTAGAATAAATCATTACATATGGTAGTATATAAAAACTGGCACCTTAGAAGCAGATGATTAAACCAAAGCTATTACTTCCATGGGCTCTCTATGACTTTATTTATGTTCCTCAATAACTTGCTGCTCATGAGCTGCTAAATTCACAGAGACAGGTAATTAACATCCCCTCGATCAGGGACATGGTGAAATAAATGAGCTGGACACAAGCTAACTGTACAAGGCCACTGGTGTGCAGAACACCCAGAGATGGAAAGAAATGGATGGAAACAACACACATGGAAGTGCACAGGAGGGAAATGGCTCATAAAAGTTACACAGTGTGTGTTTAAAGTCACTTAAACTTGGCTTGTATATTTCACACAGTTCACAAAAGATGAAGAACTTCATTTTCATGCACAACAAAAGGACCAGTAGTCAGGTCAGGACTGCTAATACTTCATTTCCCAGGTGCTATTCTGTTCTCTCTAGAAATCACGATAAATAGAAAAGCTCATGCTCACAATTTCTTTCCCCTACTTTCAATCTGGCCCTGGAGGTGCTGTCACATCCTGCTCTGTGGTCAAAGAATAACGATTTCACCTACTTCTTGGATTCCTCTTCAGACTGAGAGAGCCTTCTGGCTTTTTAAGTGTGCTCTGTACTTAATATCATCAAATGTTAGTACGTAAGTACGTCAAACTAGCAAAAGCTAACGTAAGGAACAAAAGTCACAAAATCCTGCTTCAAACTCTGGTGCTGAGACTTGGCCTTCCTGAGTCACAGAGAAATGGTCTCGAAATGTAAAGTGCCTATTACAACTGCATTGATTATGAACAAACATGGTTCCTCCTCCTCATTATCAATCAACATGAAACCAGGGATGCATGAACCCTTTAAGGTTTATTGCAACTTTGCATGTATGTATATTTTTTTTCTGGGGCAAGGGCCCAGAGCTTTCATTAGATCCTCATAGAGATTCATGACTCAAGTTTAAGGGTAACTGATTTAGTCTCAGACCAAATGCATATTTGCTGAGGGAGAAACAGCCAATATAGGGTCCAATAAAAATAAAAGTGTTTCTAGAGCAGTTATAGATGAGGGACTCTGGTGGCTTGTTTCTTATTCACTTAAACCCAAGGAGTGGAAAAGGAATTCTTTAATTCTTTATATATGGCCATATCATTATTTCTACACCTGAAAAGCTCGTTCAGAGGGTTTTTGCTTTTTGTTTTAAATATTTAAAGGCTAGAGATTTTGTCCATGTATTTCATTGATTTCATATAATGAGAAAATTTGGAGTTCACAACTACAGCTAAACAAAATAATCAGGTAGTATTTGGGGCCAGGAACATTAAGTCTTTTACCTTAAAGACTTCTATTCTCTTTTAAAGCAGTGATCCAAATAGGAATCCAAGGATTAAGATTTTTTTTAATCCAACTTTAAATCCATACTCTGAGCTAGAAATATATGCCTATATTCTAGAGTCCACAATACTATCTGGTTCAGAATCACGTGTCTATTCTGATTGTACTTGGCATAATTGCTTTGTGCAGGAGAAACCAGGCTAAAAGAGATAGCAAGTGCTCCCGGACATAAAAGGGACAGAGGGCAGGTAGGGAGTCATGTTGGCAACTCTGGTTTGGTACAAGGAAAAGCTAAGGTCATAGGGATTCAAAAAATAATAATTTCAGCATCTGTCAGAATTTAATATAATGAACTCTTTCAATGAAACTCCTTGGATATTAAAAAATCCTGGTTATATCTCAAGGTGATAGAAAAGTCCAAGCCTTTTAAGAAAGCTCTATATGTCTGTTTATATACTATATATTAACATGTCTCTCTGTGTAAATGATTATATATGTATATAAGCAGCATATACTAAAGAACTCTTTATATGTTTATTTGCTTCTTATTTTAGCCTACTGTATCTTTTTTATAGCTCTGTATATAAGAAAAATATTCATGGTATGCCTGTAACTGATGGCTTTGGGTTGATACCAAACTCCCAGTCAATTCTAAGGTTATTTATGGTTTTGAAACTTCCTTAGAAAGTGCTCAGGAACATTTCCATAAAAAAGACACCAGCCCTTGAAAAACTCCAATTAAATTGATGCTAAACTCAGATTAAATGTCAGAACTCTAGATACGAAAATATCTACATGTAACCAGATATTCACATAGAAAATGGTCATGTGATGAATGGTGTGAAAGATTGGCAGTTACATCCCGGAGATGTTCAGAAGACGTGGTGGACTCACACACACGATGAAGGTCAGACAGCAGCATAACGCATGACATGGATGGTGAGGCTCTAACAGTCTCCCACATGGCAGTTTTAGGTGAGTTCTGCCTACTGTTCTTTTTTCTTTTTTTAAAATTCACTATTACATATTCAGTGAGTGACTTCATTGATGATAGGTGAGATAAAAAATAAATTAAAAAATATAAAATTATTTAATTACATTCATCCTGAGCTTGCTCGACTATACTTGAATGCCCACTGTATATAATAAACTACTTGACATTTGTTTTTAACATCAACTCTTCCTTCATTTTGACTGCAATACGAAAAGGCATTTCTTTTCCCTTTATTTTCTTCAAAAAAGATAAAAGTTGTGGCACCAGAAATGAATATATAAGAGACAGGTGAACTATGACTGTTACCTTGTTTTTTTCTTTATAATGATCAATTACAGAAGTGTTGGCATGAGAAGGATGTGGGACGTTAGGTAGAACTGCTTGCTGCCGGCTTATACTGAATAAAAAGGATGCTCTTCATCAGTCATCAGTGATGGAGCCAATGTGAAAAGAAAACAGAATTGAAGTTTAGAATATCTCATTTGTATGCGGGGGACTTCTTATTTTATTTTGCAATTTAGCCCTGCATCCTAAAGCTCTTGATAACGGTCAGAAACAGGAAGTTGCCTCCTGGCACGGAGAATGCTTGAAGCCCCATTCATTCCCAGAGCTCATGGCTTTCTGAAGTGACTAGTGATACACATTCAGCTCCACCCTTCATCTCCCACTTTCCCTTCCCTACCCATCAAGGGTGAACATGACTTAAATCCCCTGTGTTTGGCACTGGGCCAGATCAAATGCTTTCTTGATCTGTAGCCCAGAAGTCACCTTTGAGTTAATACCTCCCAAGGCATTACTTGTTTTGCTCACTAAGGATAAAGTAGGTAAGTTTCAAGGATAGGGAACAGATGAATTTGGGAAAGAATTTTAGAGCTGGATTTTCGAGCCTTCTGCAAAGCTTATTAGAAGGTTTAGTTGTGCTTGCTTTCAAAACTGTGGAAAGCGGACATTCTGGAGAGTCTCCTCATGGACAGGCTGTCCCCTCGGCCCTCCGGCTTGGAGGACTTACTCCTCTGGAAGGGATTTCTCAGGCTTGCTGTGTTCCGCTGCCTGTCGAGTTTGTCACTGATGGAGAAGCTCTTCCTGGTGTGTGCATATGGCACACTTGGCTCCTCTGCTGAGTAGCTGTTGGCGCGCTCTATCTTGGGAATTGTGATGTTGTTGGACAGGGTTCTCTCTGAATTATCACCCTCCTGGGAGGGTGTTGCGATGGTGGCTCTCCGGCCCTTGGCCTCATTCTCCTCACTGTCAGAGCTGGGGTGACTCAGTTCCGCCTCTCGCTCAGGATGGCAGCAAGAGGAGTCCTCCACTTTCCCTCCAAGACCCCCAGGGAAGGTGGCTCTGTCTGCAATCACTTGAGGGGCATTGACACACCGCGTGTCAATGCAATCTGTAATGCTTGTGTATTCTGCTGTTTTCATGGGCACCCCAAAGTTGGTGTAGTAGCTCCTTGAAGGAGAAAACATAAAGCTATGAGATTTGACTATGGGTGCCTCTTCAAGAAGAAAGGGTGTGGTGGCTAGGTAGCGGCTACTTTTGGAACGCTCGATGGTGTGGTACATTGGAGGGTCAGTGTCCCAGGGGTTCTGGCATTCTGGGAGGTGGGTATAGTCTGAAGAAAAAGATCTAGTGTCCATGGAGGTGACGTCCTCGAAATCAATGCTCCGGCTTGGAGGTCTGTCTGTGGGTGCAAGAGTTGCATAGGCACTACTTGAAGGAGCTGTGGAAGGTGCTGGAGCTGAAAAGCTTGGCTCTCCCAGCCCAAGGATGTTCATGGAATTGTCCAGAGGGTCTATATCACAGTGGAGCTCATCCATGGCAGACACATAGATGTCTATACACGAAGATGGTCTTCTGGAATCAGGAACAACGGCCAAAGTGTTTGTAGGGGCAGTGGGAGCTCTGGATTCTTTTGCTACAGAGTGGGAACTAGTAGCCCGGTGTAGGCTCAGGGACCTTTCTTTAAAAAGACTCTCCAGCTTTTCTATACCACCTTTGTCTTTCACATTGACTGAATAGAAAGAATGGCTTCGCATACGGGGCATTAGGGTTGGAGAAGTTGGGGACAAGGTCTCCTCACCTGCAGGGTCTATACTCTCTTGGAGCTTGAAGGTGTTCCCCTCCTGGCTGTTGAAGCTGCTCTGGCGGACAATGTAGGCTGCGTCTGTGCAGTCTGAGGAGGTCCGCGAGCGGATTTTGTTGGACTCGGCCCGCTCCAGACCCGTCAGGCGCTCCAGGGCCGTGGCCATGCGCCCGATGAGGTCCTCAAGCTGTGCCAGCCGGATGTCCACGGTCTGGAGTGAGGCCTTCATGCAGTGCTCCCTCTCATTCACTTCTTCCAGCCGCATGGACATGTTCTCTACCCTGGGTGGGAAGAGAGAACAAGAGTCACGAGGGGCTGGTTCCTCCTCGGGAGGTTTGAGAGCAGGGACAGAGGGAACAGAGCTGCGCCCGGGCCTCGTTGCTATCACTATCCCACCAGAGGGGCTGTGGTTGGCGAGGGGGGTGAGGAGGAGAGAATGGCAGGGACCCTGTCACTGAGAATCACAGAACCCTAATTTTTTTTAACTAGAAGAGGCTTTAGAGATTATCGCATCCAGTGATAATCTTTTTAGCTACAAGTCCTCTTTTCCCTCAGTGAAATTTAACACTCAACCCCAATAAACAAACACTGAAGTCAAGTAGTTCTTGAAGTGGAGTGGGGCCAAAGTCCCACCCTTTCCCACCCTCCTGGCTTTGCTGTGGCCTGGGGCTGGGTTCAATGACCTCAATAAGCGTTAGAGTGTTGGCCTGTCGCCAACAACATAAGAATGTTACATTTGGATGACTTTACCCAGAATTCTGCAGTAGAATTGTAGAATGTAGCTATTCTTATCACAGTGTACATGTAAAATGTGTATTCTATGGACTGGGATTGTATATATTTTGCATTTATATAATAATCTTTTGTCGTTGTTAGTCACAATAATCTTTTTAGAATGTAGTGCCTCCAAAGGAACTGCTATGTTCCTGTTCCAGAGGCACCTGGAGTTGATCTAATCCAACCCAATCTTTTCATTCACAAAGGAAAAGCAAACATCAAGAAATTGAGCCAAGATTATGCAAAGTAATTTGTGGTGAACTCTGGAGTGACTATCAATAAGTAAACTTTCCTCCTCTCTCTCATCTTCCCTGGGTAGCTTTATATTACACAGATGCTTTATCTTACAGTTATTTCTACAGGTCTTAACCCTTCCCACTGGAAATTCTTAAGGGTTGATCTGAATCATATTCCTGTTTCCACTTCCATGATGCCACCTCAATCCCTGCCAGGTGTCCACAGAGGCTCACTGAGTTAATTACTGTGATGAACTTGATTTCAATTGTCTAATAGGTTGCCTGGCCTTTTATTTATAAAGAGAGAGACCACATATTTAAAATAAAATTGTGCCATCTTTCTCACTTGCTCAAATTATCTTGCAAAGGGCAAACCAAAGCCAAGTTTTAGTTTGAGCTCAAACTTCCATTTTTAAATGCCCAAAGGCAAATTTTTTGGAGAATCTAAATAAGATCCAATCACAACTTTTTTTGGAGAGGATAAATATACTTTTCCAATATTTTCAATATGTATGGCAAATCACTTGACTGCTGACCCTTAAAAGGAATATGGTCATGCTTTACAAGGAATGGTGGGAATTAGAGCTGGGTCCCCTCAGCTGTTGTGATGGTGGTGGTGATGGTAGTGGTGGTGGTGATGGTAGTGGTGGTGGTGTGTTAATAAGAGTAGCATTTATTAGAGAAGAATATTAGAGAAGAATATACATCTCAATGCCGGAAAGAGGTGTAAGAGGCATGTGGTTTCCTTCTCTGAGGGACCCGTAGGCTTTTAAAATAAAACCTCTTCTGTTGGCCAGAGTAGGGGTGTGTGCGATTCGTTAGCATGGGGCACATTTCCACCTCTCTTGGCAACAATCCCCCCAACTCACCTACTCTGCCTTGTTATCTTTCAACTTCCCTTCACCCAGCCTAAGGTTCTGGTCTACTCTCAAAAGCCCTGCTCCAGAAACCTTTCTCTTTTGCTCTTTTCTGCTGCCCTGTAACCAACCCAGTGTCTCCCAGGATCCACACACACTCTGCCACCATGCCCAGGTATATTTCCAAAAGACTGGAAAATTGAGCATTTTTGTATATGACAAACCCAATGCTATTCACCCAGCTACTACAGATGATTCAGAAGGAAAATTCAACTTTTCCCTGTTTTGCTTTGTTTTGTGGTTATAAACATAGCCCAGAAATAAATTCCTTCCTTCCTTACAGTAATAGGCCTGTGTGTAGATTTACAATTCACTTTTCACCACCCAGCCTATAGAGTTTGATTCTGCAAGTACTGCAACTTATTTTTTGTAACGCAGCAAGCTTTGGGTAAGTGGGTAGAATACTTCATTAAAGTCAGGAGCAGAACAGACGGCACCTTTCTATAGAACGAGAGTTTTTGTTTGAGACACACTAGTTGCTGGGTCCCCCTAGCTTTTTAGTGTTGGCAGGGTAACAAAAGGCAGGATAGTTTTCTTCCTCCCTCTCCTTTCCTTTCTTGAAGTCTGGTGTGTACAAGGTTGGTATGGGAAGAGATAAAGATGCTCCCTGAGCATAACTGCACGTGATCATTGATTTGAGCATGGGGAGATAGCTCCCTGCACTGTGGAGACCTCCCTCCCTGCATCCCACCTTGCTTTAGCCCCAGGATCCAACACTGCAGAGAAAACTAGCAGGTAAGAGGCCAAGCAGAGGCACCAAGAGGTACTGGAAGGGTAAGAACTTGGTTGTGAGCAGTAAACAGAACCCAGAATCTAGGGAGCCCAAGGGATGGGAGAAAGAAAGAGGAAGTACAGGGAGGAAGCAGGCCCCCAGGAAAGCGAGGAGGTTACCAGTGGGAGCCTCAAGAATGAAGATAAGCAGCTTGGCTCCAGGGAATGGAACTGAAGGAAAGCCTGCTAGAACAGGGCCAAGGAGCTATTCTTCACCGAATCTTAACTCTCCTGTGGGCTCTGAGATGCCCTGGAATGTAAGAGTTGAACTTTAAAAAAAGGGGGGGTACTCTTTGATCCATTTTCTTCCAGATTCTGGATGGGTTTACCACCTGTGTCATCAGTTAGGTCATGGATGTGACTGTTAAGGGTTTAAAGTAGGAGTTATAAAAAAGTAAAACTTCCTAGAGTCAAATGTATATGTGCTTGTCCCTAAAATAGAGTGCTTCCCTTAATCTTTAAAAAAGAATTCTTAAAAAGTTAATTGTAAATGAGCACGCATCATAGATATAAATAGGCCTGAGGAATAAGCCAAGAGTTTGGGTCATGATTGTAGTTTCTAGGAGCTGACTCTGGTCAAATGTCGGGAGATAAAGTGGAGAGAAGAATTATAAGAATTTATGCATCAACAGGAATCCTCAAGGAGATGGATATGGGACATGACTAAGTAAGAAAAGAAGGGACTGGGAAAGGAAGATGCTGTATGGAAGAAACACTTTATTTTTCATTCCCTCTTTCAACTCCCCAGACCTTGCGTGGCTTATTTCAGAATAACTCAGGAGGCAATCACAATAGGGACCCAATAGAGCCCTGAAAGATGTGTGGTGGCTCCTGTTCCCAGGGGGCCAAGAAAGTGACAGGAGCCCCATCAGAGGGGATTCAATAGGTGGGTTAAGAAAAAAACCCAGGTAGTAAGGCAACTAGCCTCTAACAGCCAATGTGATAAGGAAAAGGACATCCACTAGAAGATTCTGGTGGCACAGATCTATTCAATTTCAGTATGTAATTTCTTAAGGATTTTACCTTCTAGAAATTCACCTTCCTTTCTGATAGCCTCAAAATGTGGTTGAAGGAAATACGGTAAAAGAAAAAAGAGAACTGTCAGGCCATGTCTGTTCTAAATTTCAAATATTCCCCTGAGTGCTAGCAGTGGGATGGGTGTAGGATGAAAAGCAAAAACAATCCCGTATCACATGAGCCTGATTGTGGGTGCTCCTGTAGGGGAAAGGGCACACTGACACAGGTTTGGGGATCAAAGGCAATGACACAGAGCTGCTAATGCGAACTCCTGCTTATCCACAGACTGATACCTAATTTGTTAATTACTTGAGTCCTTTAGGGTTACCTCCCCTTCCTTTTGAGCCAATTATCCTTCTCTCTGAGACAAAAAAAAAGGAGGTGGGGAGAAAAGTTTAAACTCAGCTCTATCAATGGAGATACCAAAGAACAGCTTTAGAAAAAGATTTGGTGGGATGTGGGTGAAGCTCATCTTTTTTGGCTAACACTAATTTTTGATTACTTATAAATCTCATATATCCTAAATTATTCGTGTCTCTTTGTTATGAAAAATTATAAGTTGAATGTACTATTAATAGTCACATATCTAATACTTTTTTGAATCTAGTTGAAGTGGAAAAAGGGTACAGAACCTATCAGTTTAGGAAAGAGAATGTTAGATTAAAAGATGACAGTACAGAATAATGTATATTCCAGTTTGCTTAAATTGTTACCATCAAGGAGAAAATTCAAACTGAATCTTCTGACAAGCTGGAGCCTTACAGGTGGGGTGATGGTGAGGATGAACTGGAAGCTTTAAGTTAGGGGTCTGAGAATCAAATGCCTCAGGGCAGATCAAGTAAGTAGGTAAAGCAGACAAGGTATTAAAGAGAACAGAGGCAGGGATTCTGTGGCAGCAGAGAGCATGCCCAGTCCATAGGCATTCAGAATGAATTTTAACAATCACTGCAAGCTCTACACAACAGCCCTCTGTGGGCAGATGCTGCCCACGAGCGACCAGTTTGCAAATTCTGCTTTAAATGAGTTAAAGGAACCAGAAAAGAACTTCCATCTGTGATCACCAGAAAATGTAGGTAACCAGTAAGAACCAAAGGGAAATAATAAGCCAGGAGACTGCAGATAGGAAACGTTTTCTTGATATTCAACATTCCTAGGTTCTAGGAATCATGGGACTTAGACATCAGTTCTTGGCAGCATAACAGAATGGCTCAGTAGCAGGTAATTAAGCTGATGGTGTCTTTTGAGTACTTTAAAGAGATAGGATTGGTTAACAGGAGGCTGGGAACTCAGTATTAATGTCTCTTTCTTGATAATTTATACTAATAGAGAGACATAGATGGACAATATTTTTGACGAAGTACATTGTGATTTTAGCAGGGAGGTTGACACACTGGGCTGATTGGAGAAATGTGGATATCTGGCTGGGTGATTAACTAAATGAGAGATGGTAGAAAAATGGGTCAGTGTCATCATGAAAGGTATTTTTGGGAGTCATGCAATTCCTCAGTTCTGTCTTGGTTCACCTGAGCTGTCCTGGTGAGCATTTTGGTGGATTATGTTGAAGGCATAGTAGGTATGCTTATCAATGAAACAATGATATAAAATGAACAGGATGAAAAATTAATAGACTGATGATAAAATCAGGAGTTAAAGTAGTCCATAAAATGCTAGAATAATGAGCTGAAGGGGGGAAATTAAAAGTGTCACATCAATAAATGTTAAGTCCCAATTTTAGGTTAAAAACAAAGATTTCACAAGAAGAGATTTGAGGATATTTAAATCAGCTCATGTGAAAAAGCCCTGTTTTTAATTAATTATAGGCTCACTCTGAACGAAAGATAAGACTTGGCTGCTATGATTGTAATGCAACCTCATAGCAAATAAAATGTGTAGATCAAATAATAATAACTACTAGTTGTCGCAATCATAATGTCTCATATATGTTATCTCAGTAACTTAAAGTTCTAGTTAGGTATTAATACTGCATTTTGCAGATGGGGACATAGGTTCAGAGGAGTTAAGTAACTTGGTCAAAGTCACACAGCTAGCTACTGCAGAATTGGTATTAAAATATTTCCATTATACTGTCTTCTTTCCCTTGCAACAAGAACTACTTGTCCTATTGTACTCTATTAGCCTAGCACACAGAAGATGCTCAAAAATAGTAAATGAATGAACAAAGGAATTAAATCTAGGCTCTAACTACAACACAGAACTAAGGGTGATGCTGACAAATTGAAGTACATATTGAGAAAGTGAGCAGGGTAGTGGGAGATTTGTTTTTAGCATGATGAGTACAGTTAAAGGATCTTAGGGTATTTAGTTTGGAAAAGACACAGCAAAGTGGGGAGATGATAGTGATCTTCACCTGTGTAAAATATCTTTTTCAGAGAGAACAGAATTTAATTTTTTCTTCTGTATTTGTTCACAAGGCTGGTATCTAAGGCAGTTTCTCCTCTTTCTAGGAGGTGTTCAAATAGAGGCTGAGTGTAACTGGACCACACATTCTTTCGAAGCACAGTCCTTATAACCCCATCCTCATCCCAGGTCCTGCTCAATACATGCTTATTAAATGCTGTTGTTCAGGTGTGTGGGAGAAACACTGTTCTGGGTACAAGTAATCTGAACCCAATGACCTCCAGAAACTTTCCTGAATGTAAGGTGACAAATTTCATGCTCCACAGTGAATACTTCTGCATCGTTCTCTCCTATTTTGGACTCTTAGTTTTGTCCATTGTGTTGCATTAGTGGTTCCCAAAGTGTGGTCCAAACAGTGTCAGCAACAGTATTGCCTGGGAGCTTGTTAGAAATGCAAATTCTAAGGCCCCACCCTAGATGTAGTGAATCAGAAACCAGGGGTGGGGGCAGATGCCCAGCAACCTGTGTTGTAACAAGCCTTCTAGATGATTTTGAGGCCTTCTAAAGTCTGAGAACCACTAAGTTAGATGTTTCTGGCTCTTCCTGCTTTGGGTTGAGTAGAACTCAATGAGACTGTATTTTTTGAGGACAGGGCCCTGTCTTATTGCCTGGCACACAGTGAAAGCCCAGTATACATGCAGAACCGAACTTGTTAATGGATGATGAGCATGGAATTTGATGGAACAAACTCCAAGGATTGGTTATCTTCAGCCAAGGGTCAAAAAATTCTCAGAAAAAAAGCCAGTCAACAATGCTGCTTAACAGCTTAAAAATTTGGTTATGTTAATATAGTTGTCACTAGCTAGATATTATCCCAAGTAAGTGGAGGGTGTTGGTTACTCAATTAGCTCATTATATTCTGGAACTCTATTGCTTTAGATGCATCATGGTCATTGCTATATAAAAATGGGAAAGACAGGGATTTTTCAAAATCAAGTTCCTCCACAGTGTTAATGATCTCTTGAATAATGTATTGAGCCCTATACATATCCATTTGGGTACAAAACTATGATTTAGTAATGATTCATTTAAACAGACAATTACAGAAGCATCTCTGTATTTCTAAAAAGATTCCTGCAAACAGAACTTGTATAAATACAAGTTGTATTACTTGTATAAATACATTGTCTTTTAAACGTAGTAGCAGGGGGAGAAGCATGGGGCTCACTATGTGAAGAAACCCTTTCCCCAAGTTCTTAGTAGAGCAAAGAATCAGCTCTTAATTTTTCTGATTTCACATCCCCGTACTGAAGTTCTCTAATATGAAGGCAGAACTATATACTATTTTGTATACTATATAGAATGTGCACAGTTAATGTATGAAATTTAACATATCATTCAAATGTGTGTTTACACATATTTATCTCTTTGTCATCTCTCTCTCTTTCTCTGATATAAATCGGGCAGGTGATTCTGCCTGCCACTCCGCCTGGGAAGGACATGTCCTAGAGAATGTGGGTAATGTGGATCCACTCTTCCTTCGGTTGGTATCTGTTCCCTCATGCACCTCATGGCATTTCTATTGTGTTGAGTACAACTCCAGTGTTCAAAGATGTTATTTTTTGGTACATTTACAAATGTAACAAACCAAAACCACCACCACCACCATCAAAAGCTAAACCTCAAACACAGAAGCAACAGAAGCCGGATGAGGCCTGGGCTTAGGTTCACTTCTCTGGCACCTGGGCTTGGCCAAGAGCTCACCCTGGTCATCCAGGCCGCGTGACTCCATGAGGTCAGCTAACGCCCAGGACACAGGGAGGGTGGGCCTGGATCTGTCCTAGATCTCTGGGAGTTGCTCTCCTTAGTCACCTTTCTGAAGGGTGGGGCTCTATAATGACCCAGAGAGGAATAGGGCCTTGGGGAAGAAGTCTGGAAGAGTTTGTAGGTGTGGGGGTAAGAGCCCCAGGTGGAGATGCTGCTGCAGTTCCTTTTCTGTTTCCATCCAAAAGGAATTGGTAACAAGGGCACAGTTTACATGCCCTAGCGTCTACACCTCTAGACCCCAGAGAGGCAAGGACTTCTTTGCATCTTAACACTCCTTTCCCTACATGTCTTTCTTCCCAGATCTATGGCCTTTTGAATTCAGAAAGCATTTCAAAGGCTCCTGGATATATGCTTTGGAAGTATGTCTGAGCAATGGACAATGTGTCCACATGGCACAATTTTCTGGAAACTACATGGCTATATGTCCATTAATAAATAGCTTTTCCAAGGCTTCAGCATGAGAGAGATCTTCAGATTTGCAGTTCCTTCCTCTGTTTGCCAGAAAATTGCTTCACATTACATCATCACAAAATGCTCTATTTTGCAATGACAGATGTGTATAAAATCTGTGCATGGCTTTAAACTTTATTAATATTGGCTGAGTACTATGAATATAATCATTCAATGGCATATTCATATATACCTACTTATACAGACTGCATTCTTTTTTTATTTATTGCACTATAGTTGATTTGAAATGTTGTGTTAGTTTCTGGTGTATAACATAGTGATTCAGAAACTGCATTCTCTAAAGAGATAAAGGGCCAGGGACAGAAAAATGCCACTTGCATAATTTCTGCAGAGCCACTAGAGAATGTATGACATGGGAAAGCAGACAAAATGTCATTTCAAGAAAATTAGAGGTGACTGACTAAATCTTAGAAGTCCGAGTCATATATCAACAGAAATCATCAATATATCATATCTTCTCCCACTATTTATAATTTGCTTCTGCCATCTTTATATTGCAAATGCTTAAAATGTAAAGTTACAGCAAAGCTTTGTAACATTAGAGGTGTTCTGTTAGAACAATGGTTCCCAAATGCTGGGTTTTAAATATCCCAGCCTGGAATGAAGTTTGTATTAATCTACAGAAAATGAGAAAAATGAGAAAATGTAAATCCATTTGCACAAAGTTAGATTTATTACATTTAAAGGATTCTCATCTCTTTATTTTGAGATTTTTCTTTTATAGCCCTATTGGTCTAGAAGACTAATTGGTCAATAAGATCTAAAAGTATATAATAACTAGGGAGAAAACCCTACTTTTATCTCTTTGCTTTTATCTTGTTCTATAGGAAGAAAAAACCAAGTAATTTTAAAAAACCCTCAACCATTATTATAACTAATTCACAAGTCTCTTGCTGGGTTTATTTTGAAGGTATTGAGCACCCCTATGAGCCAGGCATGAGGACCAACTATGTCTTTTGAGAAGATGCTCAGTGATCTACACAAAACACAAATCTATCGAAGAAGCCTTGAGTTGGGGTGGGTCTCTCTTGGTTTGTGTCTGGGTCAGATCTTTCTAATTTCTGGTCTGAGCCAGCAATCCCTGCCCTGTCCTTGACTCAACAATCTCTAGTGTCCAGGAAGGCGGCTGCTACTGCCTGCTGGGGAAGTCTAGGATCTACAAGTCTGGGGTTTTGCTCTATAGACACTCGAGACAACATTCTGTTCTCTCATAAGCTTGATAATTTCTCAGACAATGAAAGTAAACACAAGATGGTCTCTTTTTTGTGGCCCTGCAAACAGAATCAATTGATAAGGCATGCCATGGTATAAAACAACCCCAAGAGGCATGTGCCCAGGGAACACACCTTTCTGAAGTCACCCGTATCCGCTCATCATTGGACGAGTTGAATCGATCATCCTTTTCTCTGAAATATTCCTCTATGCACTGCTCTTCAAAATCATGTACTTTCTTGAGCTCATCATCAGTTATGAAGAGCTCTGTGGAAAAGAAATGAGGGATATGAGGCAGAGAAGTAAAAGCGACGGCTTCTGATTTGTGGGCCAAATGGCATTCCTAAGCTAAATCGAGGTTAGGGAAGGGGGCCTGGATTCTTCACTAAGTTTCAGACTAAATCCAAATCCAGTCAGGCAACTTGTGCCACTGTCCTCTTTCTGGGTATCAGATTCATTATGTGTCTCTGAAGCTCACCTGAATATATGTGGTTTACTGCTAAGAATTATGTATGTTGTAAGGCCAAGAATGTAGTGAAATCAAGGAAAGGGAAGCTATGCAGAGAATGGGAATTTCTTGAAAACTCAGCTTCTGGGCTCAGGAGTGTGGCAGACAGACACTGTTCCTTGGCCTTATTAAAAACCCTTTGCAACCCAATTCCTCCTTTCCCTCTCCCTATTACAGAGGCTGGAAATTCAAATACATACATTTCCAGTGTCTCTTGAAGCTGGCAGCAACCATAAGACCCAGTTTGGCTCAAAAAACAAACAAACAAAATTCTACTGCAGGAAGGGGTTGTGTATTGGGAAGATATTTTGCTTTCCTGATGTAGTCTAGCTATGGGGCTGCTTCTTTCTACATTTTTTCACCTTCCTGCTTCTTTCTGCCTTGAACACAATGTGATGACTGGAAGTGCAGCAGCTATTTTGCTACCAGGAGATAAGACAGTGCGATAAGGAAGAGCTGAGCATAAAAACAAAAGGACTTGGGGTCTTTTACTTCAGTGAGTCATTGTTGGGCTCTGGGCTATTTACCTTTCCACCTTTCATTATGTGAGACAAGTAAAACCTTATTTATTTGTGTTATTATTAGTCTGGTTTTCTGTTAATAGCACGTAAACAAATTCACAACTGATACAGCTGTAGAAAAAGCCCAGTGGAAATTTGAATCTTTTCTCCCCCTGAGCTTTCTACTTGCCTAATTGGTGTTTCAGATAGAAACAGTTAATCTGGAAATTCTTAGCCCCTCTCCAAGTTTCCAGTTTTAATGTCTTGAGAGAAGTTGGGCATGGCTGTATCAGAGAAGTTGTTAAAAGCTTCAGACTTAGAGAAGCAGCTGATTATTAAGTGGCTTTGGTTTCAAACTTTAGCTGCACTAGTGATCACCTGGAGGTAATTCCTGGGCCACAATCCTAGAGGCTCTGTTTCAGCAGATTTAGTGTAGGTGGTCTATTTGACACCCTTTGAGAAACCACAGTAGCTTGCTTCTATGGGGCTGGATTCCCAATGGTTCTTAACTATGGGTGGTACCCAATGGACATTCAGGAACCTGCAGGAGCTATTAATATTCAATGGGTGGAGGCTGGATGTGCTAAATCTCCTGCAATATGTGGAACAAGTCTATATAATGAAGAATTATTCCACCCCAGTGCCAATCGAACCTCCTTTTAGAAACACTGGGCTACAAGGAGGTTGGTGCAGGGTCTTCTTTTTTGTCCTGGGAATCATGGAAAGCAGGGCCGGTTTCCTCATGAAGTCATATAAGTACAACCCTTAAGGCTTGGGGAGCGTTTAAGACTTAAAAACATAATGGATCCAGAAATGATCATGGAAAATCAACATTAGTCACCTAGAACTCAATTCAACTCATGTCAGGATGCTTAAATTATATATACTGCAGCCCTGGGAGCATTAACATGGTTGATATATTTTGTGGTGGGACATCTGGAAAGTGAGAAACTTAGAACTTATGAAGATGCTAACAGAGCCCTACTAGATCCTGGTTTTATCTCACTAAGAAAGGTGTGAGGCTAAGAATGCTTGACTATCTTCTTTCTAGCATAGTTATACATCAAGCACACCCCCTACCCAATTCCCTTCCAAGTCTTCCGAGCTGTGGGCAGGAAGAAGGAGGGACCAGGTGCCCAGTGGTCCTGCATGACTGTCTACAGAAGTGGTGGGGATTTCTGCTTTGTGGTTGTTGGGGCTGTCACTTGAAGCTTACTCAGGCCGTAGTCCCTTTCATCTGGGTCACTCTCGTGTTTCCTCCATCGGCAACACAGGTGCTGGAATATCATGGTCATGTGGCTGAATATGATCAGAGGTGGGGGCAGAACGGGCCTTTCGTGGAAAGTCATGATGAGCTGATACCTCTGAAATTTCCACACTTGGTTGGATATTGATTTTACCTCAAAAAATGTATTGCTGAAAGAGAGACCAGAGAGAATCAAGTGAAAAACTTCACTGCTTTCTGAAGCATCACACCCACCTCCCACTTCAGTTTCCTGACTCCATTCCAGGTGCTCTGAAGAAGGACCCTCTTACTTAAAGACAGCGATGAGGAGGTTGACCAGCAAGATGTTTGCCACTAGAAGGTAGCAGGCCATGATGGCCGGCACGATCCAGGCTCCTGTCTTGCACGGAGGCAGTTGGATTATTTTACCATCCTCTCGAGTCTCATTCTGTCCACAGGGAGCTGGAGGAAGCAACACAGGTAAGATGTGAGAAACTGTGTGGCTTCGTGATTGAGAAAAAGACTGATTCAAATGAGAGTTGTTT